CAATTGCTGATACTACGGTTCCACCTTTCTTTATGGATAGGGTAAACGAGACTTCCCAGGAGGTTAGATTTGTTGCGTCTGGGGCGTATGTGGAGAAATGGGCATTTGAGGGTATGGGAAAAGAGAGGGCTGAAAAGGCAAGTGTTAGATTCAATGTGAGGATGGTAGCTAGGGTTAGTTTTAAAGCAGGAGCTTGGAGAGCAAGGAGGAGGTATTTGAGAGTTTACTGTGGGGATTTGTCAGTTGGAGTTGCGTTAAACAAGTCTTCTGGGAACTTGCTTGGAGGACAAAGGCAGTGTGGGGTTGGGCTGTGATGGTGGCGTTTTAACTGAGGTGAATTTTAATTGAATTTTGGTGACCCATTAGATTCTCTAATTCTGTTGCATTATATACTTCTTAGTATAATTGTATAAGCAATGTAGTAAGGATAATGCTAATTGAATTGCGTTATGTAGATCTGATATAAAAAAAACACGAAAAAGCTGATCTTGATTGTTTATTTCTCACATTGGTGTATGCACATCTTTAGGTTGTTCTTGTTGTTATTTCTGTGGCTACATTTAAGATGTGGAGATAGAATGTGTTATATTTCTACATTATTCTTGGTTCTGGTTATTTGCTTCTTATGATTTACAGTATCGCTAAGCCAAGTGAAAAGGGCTGAAAGTTTGATATGTTAAGGAATAGAAGGTTAATTCTATGAACCTGTAAAAGCCCCTTCATGTCATTTAGGATTCCATTTTATTGGCTATTCAAAATCTTGGAAATATTAGGCTTCTGTTATGATGAAAATAATTTTCTGGTGATTCCTAGTGCTTCACTAAGTTCCTTCCATATGATAGCTTCTTTTCCTCAAAGCATTGCTTTAAAGCATTAAAAGGTAATGTTTTTACTATTTCTTTTGACCTCATCAAATAAAAGTTCGTTCCTATATCGTCCAAGTTATAAGTTCTTGATGTCTTAACTCTTGATGTGAAGCAGTTCAAGGTAATGTCTATATGGACTTTTAGGCTTCTACTATCATGTCTACTCGTTGATACAAGCTTAAAGTATCAAGATCGTGACCTTTGTGATGCAGAGCCAATTTGGTTGTGGGGCATTGTGTTGGCAGATTAAAGAGTAACCAACTATTCAGATGCTGTGGTTGTGGGGAAATATGAATAGAAGCACTGGGAAAAAGGAGTTGTAAAGGACTATCACTGTGAATCCTTTTAAATAGCCTCGTAGTTCATGTTATTTCATGTGATAGGCACTTTTGATATAGTTAAACAACATCAAAAGAATCTTAAAGACACTCTTGTTCATCTTCAACTCTGAGATCTGGCTCATGGAGATTTTGAGACTTGGACTTGGTCTTGAGAAACCGAAACCTTGATAGTTATAGAAGGCTTTGACCTGTAGAAACTCTCTGAACTCTGAGAATTTAGCATCCCAGAGGAGATGGCTGTCTTTCTGTGTGCGTGGTGACTTGGTGGTGTTTGGGGGGGGGGGGGGGGGGGTAAGGGGGGTGTTTGTGAACTTAATATTTGTACATATTCAATAAATTTCTTAATACAAAGTTATTGGATTTCGTAGTTCATGTTATTTCATGTGATAGGCACTTTTGATATAGTTAAACAACATAAAAAGAATCTTAAAGACACTCTTGTCATCTTCAACTCTGAGATCTGGCTCATGGAGATTTTGAGACTTGGACTTGGTCTTGAGAAACCGAAACCTTGATAGTTATAGAAGGCTTTGACTTGTAGAAACTCTCTGAACTCTGAGAATTTAGCATCCCAGAGGAGATGGCTGTCTTGCTGTGTGTGTGGTGGTGGTTGGGGGAGGGGGGGTAAGCATGCGTTCAGAGCACCTTTGCCAGATGGGCAGATGTGAAAGTATAGATTGCAGGAGCGCTATAGGATTATGCACTCACTGCGGCTGAACTAGTGAAGGTTTGATTCTATAGGATTATGCACTCGCTGCTGCTGAACTAGTGAAGGCTTGATTCTATAGGATTATGCACTCGCTGCTGCTGAACTAGTGAAGGCTTGATTCTATAGGATTATGCACTCGCTGCTGCTGAACTAGTGAAGGCTTGATTCTATAGGATTATGCACTCGCTGCTGCTGAACTAGTGAAGGCTTGATTCTATAGGATTATGCACTCGCTGCTGCTGAACTAGTGAAGGCTTGATTCTATAGGATTATGCACTCGCTGCTGCTGAACTAGTGAAGGCTTGATTCTATAGGATTATGCACTCGCTGCTGCTGAACTAGTGAAGGTTTGATTCTTATGGTATGAATCTTCTTAAAGATTTGTTGAAGGGCAGGGCATTGTCCTTCATTGCAGATTTACCACCTCTATTTTGGGGTATTTTACGGCCTTACCCCTGGTTTATTGCCTACTTCTCAAAAAGTGAAATCATTGGTTTCGATATATCGGTTCGGATCAGACCAGGATGAATAGGATTGGTCTTACCTCTCACTCAGATGTAACACTCCTGCCGCTGACATATGTTATATGTGAATGGTTATAATTATTCTATTAGGCTATTACCTGGTGTCTGTACTGGGACATCTAAAAGGAAATTAAAGTACATGCTGATATTTAGTTATTGAGGAACAATCTTCAATATAAATATTTATGTACAGCCGTGCCATTTGTTAGTATCTTTGATAGAAGATGAAGTTAATACACACAGGAGGCGCAAGTCCTTCACCTCTTGAAGGACCAATCTGCTGTCTTGATGAAAGTTGCTAGCAAATGAACCTTTTTTTGTGTCCTATCTCCTTCTCTGCTCTTATCTGCCAGGGATGATAAGATATCTGTTTTTTTGCGTATCTACCTTTTTCAGTTGTACTATTCAAGTTTAAGCTACGATTATATTTTCCAGTTTGCTGGAACCATGCCGTGTCTTGGTTTTAACTTTATATCGTGATACAAATGTCATGTCTTGGCAACAAATGAACATGCTCCTTGAATTATCTAAGTAAGAATAACATGAAAGGAGACATTCTCTATTTCTCTTGCCAAGAGATTTGCATCTATGCATTACTTTCAATGTAGTTACAGAAGAAATAGTTATCTTGTGCAAATAACTTATATATTCCAACAGTGTTAAAGACTATTACACTATTTGTGTATTTTCACTCGTTGTAGGATGACCTGTCTTATTTTCCAGGTTACGAATCCCACTTGTTATGGACAATTACTTGTAGTTATCTTTGAAGTGACCGGTGACCTGATAGTATGAAAGTTCTATTACACTGTAAGTGTGTAAAAGTAAGCTCTTCCATATCCTACCTTGTTGAAGCCAACAATTCCCATTTCCAGCTATGCGTAGGGAATGGGATCTCCAGGAGTTGTTATCCTTTGTGCATGTTTTTACTCCCCATCAGATGATTTACGAGGGTTCTTTTGGTTCTGGTGCTATAAGTCATCATCACTTTCATTTTTTCTTTAGAATGTCTTGTATAAACTGTTTCTTGGACTGTAAAAGCTTACAGCTCCAACTTAGTATATATCTTTACTTCCAGTTTATTTGTATTGAATTGTTATTCCACTTGTTTTTGCTCTAGACCGGAAGTAAAACTTGGTCTTGAATTTGTTGTCTATGACTGGAAACACAACAAGATCCTCCTTCCTTGGCTATTGCTGATCCTGTTTGTTGTTTTATTTTGAATGAAATTCAATTGTACCTTTCAACTTTGTTAATCTCGGAATTGACTCCCCTCGATTCCTCATAGAGCTAGGGGTTGAAAAGATCAATGAAAAACTAGAGCGCGAACTAGCTGATCTACACACAAGTAGGGTAAAGCCAAATGAATAACTCTTGTTTTTCTTGTTGTAGTTCTCTTTCTTCCAAGCCTTCCCAAATACTAAATCATTAAAATGTTACCTTACCAAATTTAATCATATCGGTTATAGCGTAAATTATTAGTAATTAATTAACTTTCTCATAAAATACTACTCTATGTAATAATTGAACTTGAAGTTTTACTGATTCAGGGTATAATGGGCAAATATGGTTGGTATCTTGAGAATAATGCAATCCTAGTTTGTCAAGACTATAGAAGTAGGGCCATTTGGAATAATTCTTGAATCTTTATTTACCTTTTTATTAGCCTTTGCGTAGAAGCATACGTCCCTAAAAGATAAGGTTGCTTGCAACTAGCACACAATATCATCACCATCACCAAACTTCATTTTCCACCATTCACTTTTCCTTTAAAATTGCCAACTTGTTACTGCATGTAATTTGGATGTATTTGTCGTTGGAACATTTCCAAAACATGTTCTTGGAAATGAGGTTTTGGACACCGTTTGGGGTGGAGCTAGGTGGGGTCCGTGGATTCGGATGAACCTAGTAGCTTTTCGTAGATCTTGTATTTATACTAGATAATTAAATAAATATATATGTATATTAACTCATGAACTCCTAACAAAATTGATGACAACTTAGTTGTAAGAAAGGGGTCGTGGGAATGTTTTCCACAACCCCAATATCAACAACAAGTCACTCTTTTTTTTTTAAAAAAAGGGAAATTCAAAACTCCAAAAACTTAGAACCCCAAACTCCTAATCCTTGCTCCTCCTCCGAGTCAATAGTCATCTAAATCTCAAGTGTTTAAAACAACAAATATGAAAATAAAATCCCCATTGATAAGGTGGTGATCAGGATCTCTTCATCCATAACTATAATTTTGGGGCTCGAGACTTGTAAATTGAAACCTTTCATGAGAAGCGGTTTAGCTTTTTATTTGATTTATTCCATGTGAATTTGATTCAGTCAGATAACTACGTTTCGGGTACCAAATGTTTAAGTTACACCAAAAGTCTCTCACCACATTATACAAAAAAGTAAAATTGCAAGATGAAGTTTCTTAACCTACTAGTATTCTTTTAATCAAAGACCACATGGGTCAGGTTTTAACCTACTACGAAAGTTCGTATCATAATCATATTTGAAAAGGGAATATATTTTCGTACATCCTACTTTAATAGTCTCTCCACACCAACAAAAATAGAAAAATGAAAAGAAATTCTCCCAACATTTCCTATACAAAAAGATCACTCTCTTTTTATACAAGAAATAAAGTCTCTCACACCACATTATAGAATCCTAAAAAAAAAAGCCATATTAACAAATATATCTCCCCTTACAAAAAATCTCTCCCAAAGAACTAAAACACCACCACCACCACCACCATGTCGGCCAAAGACTGCGGCCACCACGATGAGGAACGTCACAAGCTACACCGCCGCCTATTCGCCGCCTTAGTTGGCTTCATAATCTTAGTCCTCTTCATCATCCTTCTCATTTTTCTAATCCTTAGGCCAACAAAACCACATTTTATCCTCCAAGATGCTACTATATATTCTTTCAACATTTCCTCACCTAATCTCCTCACCACCAACTTCCAAATCACCTTAGCCTCTCGTAACCCTAATGACAAAATAGGAATTTACTATGACAAACTTGATGTCTATGCAACTTACCGTGGCCAACAAATTACTCTCCCTACACTTCTACCACAATCATATCAAGGTCATAAAGATTTCACAATATGGTCACCTTTTGTGTATGGTAACTCAGTCCCCGTCGCGCCGTACCTTAGTGAGAGTCTTAGTGAAGATCAAATGGCTGGAACTGTGTTGATTAATGTTAAAGTTGATGGAAGAGTTAGATGGAAAGTTGGAACATTTGTCTCAGGGAAGTATCATTTGAATGTCAATTGTCCAGCTTATGTTGGTGGTAAAATGATTGGAAACAGTATTGCTGTTGGTTCAGCTATGAAGTATCAATTGGTACAAAATTGTCATGTTGATGTTTAATTTGTGGAACTAACAATGTCATGGATATTGACATCTTAAGAATGATGCTCTCTCACTCTCTACTCCTCACCCCCCCCCCCCCCCCCCTTTTTCCCATATCTA